AATTTACTTGATGGAGTTATTGAGGAGATTGGAGAGCAGTTGGTTGTCCAGGTAGTGACTGATAATGCCACTGCATACAAAGCAGCAGGTCAGATGTTGATGGAGAAGAGGACACACCTCTATTGGACACCTTGCGCAGCACATTGTATTGATCTCATATTGGAGGATCTTGGTGACTTACCTCAGCACAAGAGTGCTCTTGTTAGGGTTGAAAGATGATGAGGACCCGTTGGTGTGTGATGATCTGTCGTCTGATAATGAGTGGTTCATAGATGATGAGGCAGATTTGTCATTATCAGACTTACAGGTAGAAGATCTAAATGTGGATGTATTGAGGGGCGAAGCAGATCAAACGGGTACATCCACTAGTACCACACCACACACATGTACTAGCTCTGCAAGTAAAGGTATATGTTCTCTGCTAGTCTGCTTGATAATGAGTGGTTCATCCAATTAATATGCTAATAATCTTTTCTTTTAATGATCAGGGAAGAGAAAAGTGAGTCATGTTGAAGATGAAGATGACATGGCATTCATAGATACAATTGGAGAAGAAGATTCACTTGAAGACTGATATTTTGTGATGGGATATGACTTCATTTTATATGTTTTTTGTATTTTGGGAGTTTTGTTAAACTAATATTTTGTGATTTTGTACTTTGGGACATAATTTTATTGCATCTACTTTCTTATTTTCCACTATTGCTATTATTTTCCTGCTAAAATCCTTAATTTTTCATTTACGCAATTCTGTGTTCGTGAGGCTTACGCCTCAGACCGCCTCGAGGCTTACGCCTCGCCTCACGGACGAAAACCGCCTCGAGGCGCAGTTACGCAATTTTAAACCTTGGTTAGTGGTAAGTTCATGAAATAAAGTTGCATCAAAAATATTAAACAGTAGGCTAATTACATTTGTTCATCATCAAATATAAGCCACAGTGATCGTACTTATAACCAGGGGCCTAAAATTAGTAACTTCTCAGAATCTTCAAAGATCTAGTCAAATAATGTAAGTTTAAATTCAATATGTTTGGATCCTGAAAAAATAGGAAGCTTCTAATTCAACCTAGGCAAAACAACTCCACTTTGTTTTACAGCAAGGCATATTTAAGACATAAGAAGACCAAGGAAAGCCCAGAACAAATTAAATCTAAAGAATAGCCAGTAAAAAAGCAACAATGAAGAAGTCGAACACTAAAAACTGGAAACAAATATTGCAAAATGCAAAGCACCATGTGATTCACCAAAGAACAACCGCAACATCAAGAGCCAACACTATGCCACAGTGCAATGCAGAGAAAAGAAATATAGTAGTCAAGGCCAATTGTAGTGTAAAACTCCACAAGGAAGCATGCAGGAATAACAATAGCCTCCACAATACATCCCCAAATCAGAAGTTGGCTAGAAACAAAAATCAAAAGTGTTGGATTAGGGAATCAAAAACTCCAAATGGATGAAATCCAAGCTAATGAAGCCATCGTGCAGCAGTAATCAAACCCATTGAATGATGAAAACATTAAAGAATAAATTTGTTCTCGATAGGATCATCATTATAGACATATTTTACAAAAAATAAACTAGTAAAAATATAAACTAATATATGGAGACAACTAAAACAAATATTAACGCACATGTTTTGTGTTTCTAAAGAATAAAGACTCTTAGATTTACATTATTCTACACAGCTTGGAAAACTTTAGCTCCAACAAACTACGTATTTAATATTTGGCAATCAAATCTAGATATAATTGCAGTGCTTCATGTAAAACAACCTATAGATCACTACAATAAATATTTCACATAGTCTCCATACATATGATAGCTTTTAAACAAAATAACCAATATGACTAGTAAGGTGCTAGATGTAATGTTGAAGAATAAAATAGAGAAGAATCCGGACATTTGTAACAAATTAAATCAAATTAGAGATATCGATGATTAGACTAATACCAGTACATAAAATTTCCAATTTACTAGTCCCGATGAGTGGTAAGATATTATATATTAAACTAGTAGCCTGATTATTTTGGTAGTTTCAAATGATATAACTGCTCCTATTTAGCATGTTCAACAACATTTGTAAAATTGTTTCCTTACAAAATCTAAATCAGAGAATGGAATATGTCAACAGTTGATTTTAGTGATCATAAAAAGAATTTTATTCGCAGAAAAGCCCTGAGAATGCACAAATATGGCAACATTATTGGGATATTGCTGACTTGAGCAATAACAAGTGATGATATGAAGGTATAGAAACTTGAGAGTTATGTTTGTCGTCCAACTAAAATTATGGGAAGATGAGAAACTAATAAAGATAACAAGATGCAAATAGAAAAAGATAAAAGATTAACAATATGACAAGGCACAGAAAGTATATTATTGAAAATATATCTTAAATTAATCTCTATATCAATTAAATTTCACACATTAAACGAAAACAACTGCATTTTATTTATACCATCCAAACTTGCAATAAAATAAATCAATAAACAATAGCTTCTATAATTTGAAATTAAAATTAGATGATGATTAAGTTTAGACTTGAAATTGATAGTGACGACTATTGTTAATCACATAATTTCTTAGCCTGGATATCTACTAGTTGAAATCTAGATAGATATCAAAACTATTTTCTATATGAATTACGAGAAATCACAATTTAGTGCAATTAATTTATGACTGGTCAAGGAATTATCTCTATCACTTTATCTCTCTTCCAGTGCAGAGTAAATGGACTAGATAGTCTTGTCTGAACTAAATTTAAACTCTAAAAATGATCATAAAAGATATTAAACAAACTACAAATTAAGATTAACTTAATTTAAATAGTAACTATTATGGTAAAGATCATGCAAACCTCATTTTCATCGGGAAATTCTGAACTCCCCATGAAAAGCATGTGTTCTGTTAAAAAGGAAAATAGTAAAAACTTAAACTAAGCCACGCAATGTTAAAATCATTATCAGAAAAATAAAACAATCACATTTAGCACAACCAGCACAACTTTTTATTAAATAAATTGAAAGATGATGATGCAACTATATAAACCTTAACAGCATACTAGAAGGACAAGAACATTCAATGTAAAGTAAATTCAACCATATTCATTTAATACGGAGCCCTTTGCATCATTTTAGCATCATTCTTTTCTCTCTTCATTAATAAAATACAATTGAATGCCTTTAAAGACCCTAGATCTTGCTTGTCCCAAATGTCACCTGATAGGCAGTAAGCTACTAGACTTTTAAGTCAAGTTACAAAATTGACAGACAGATTTTTTCTTCACGTTCTTCACAAACAAGCAGTCACCTCTAACGCTAAAAGGCGTTTGCTATTATGTTATCATGAAAACCATTTACAAACTTAGAAATTCTGGCATTGACTATATTACCATAAAGAGGAAAAGGCCAAACTTACCTCAAATAATTAAAAAGTGCTCCCACTAAATGAGAATAATCAATATATCATCTACAACTATTGAGGGCTCAATATGTATTATGTTTGTTAATGAATATTATTTTAAGCAAGAAGTACACTAATATTAAAAAATCATTTTAGTTTGTCCATAAATGAATGGTAAAATGCTGAAAAGTAGGCAGAAACTAAAGAGCTAGTAAAATAATACAAGGCTGTCTGCATCAGCACGATCCAAGTATAGACAATCAAACCTAAAAAATGTGCCAGACCCTGTGCCTTATAAGGATCAGAGAAGCTTCCCATTGCAACACACATTGCAGCGGCAGCCTGGACAAAACATGGAGAATTAGTCATTTTCATTAATATGCATATGTATAGAAAATAGGCAGCATTGTTATGAGCATATTACTATCCGTATGAAGCAATAAATTCTGAATTAAAATTCAAGCGACTTATCCAATAAATGTAAATCATCTATTGATATAAACAACAAAATTACCTACCTTTGTCATCAATAGAACTCTAGGAAGGCTTTTGCCCTTGCAAATGTACAACCAAGTCCTGACATTATTACAAATACCCAGAGAGAGATCAAAACATCTAAAGATCTATATGTTATTGCAACAGAGGATCATTGCTAACCTACACTTAAAACTCCCTGACTCAGAGGCTTTTTGAATAAGTAAAATTTCATGAAACCGTTCCTCCAACTCTAGAATTTTTCTCTTAAGCAGTAAGTCATCTACATAAACTTTAATTTTTTGCTCATTTTGACTTTTGAACACAATTTATTATTCTCTAATAAGTTGTCGTTGTACTTCTCAATTCAATTTATGAAAATTTTCCTTCTTGCAATAGACAGTATGTATCCTTATCTAAAGGCAATCCAAAAAGACGCCGAGAAATATCATTACAAAGAAGCTGACTAAAGCATCAAGTTGTGGAAGCAGTTACCAACCCTTTGGGCAGACCAAGTTCAAATTCATGAACATCCCTCACTCTCCATTCAATTTTTGAGCCATCACCTTATTTGAAATCCAAGCAGAGAATACAATACTCCCCGAATGAAGCTAGCCTCCAACAATTTCTAGATTTCACAGTTAATATATTCAACCAACATTAAATCAACTTGGTGAATTCTTTGTTTTATTGGTTTCTCTATCTTGTCAACATTGAGCTTATGACATGCAACGTTAATACGTAGTTACGTACTATTGATTTTTCTACAATAGGCCATGCAAAACTTCGCAGTTAGTGCCAAGAGTATTAATGAGTTCATCCTTCTGCACTAGATCAAAGGATGTGATGATTCAGAGGGTACAAATTTGATCATCTTTGGATAGGGTGATTCCTCAATCCTCAACAACCTCAGAGGTCTCAAGTTCAATGCCTTTTTGAATATCAAGTTATAGAACATCCTCCAGTGTGTTTCCTATAATCTTCATTGTAGCATGGCCGAGATTGTATTTAAGTTCTTGCACATAGTGATTATGCTCCTCCATATAAATGATTATGCTCCTCCATATAAATAAGACTATTAGTGTGCTCAAGTAGCTCAGTGATGAGGACATCGTCAGAGATTTCGACACATGTACCATCAGGAGACGCCGGAGATCGACGGCCACGATCATGAGTTTTATTTTGAGTCGTTTATGTAGTAGTTTATTTGATTTTTATGTGTTTCCGTTTTTGCCCTTATGGGTATTTAGTCGCTATTGTAGCCCAAGGGGCATTTTAGTCTTTTATTTTCTTTGTCATTTGGTGGCCTATATATATGGCCCTTTTCTCATGTAATAGTTAGTTTTTGATAAAATGAAATTTACTACTTGTTCTCTTTGTGAGTTCCTCCATCCACGATCTCTTAGTGAGTTCGCCGGAGAAGACTAGATCTCTTTGTGAGTTCTAGTTCGCCGGAGAAGACTAGATCTCTTTGTGAGTTATAGTTTTCGAATTATCTAATCTTGTGGAAAATCAACGTGGAGACAA